ATCTGAAAGTGCTTACAATCTATAGACAGATAATTTTATACATATTCCAGTTATTCAAAATTGAATCATCACCTCCTTTCTCTGCTTTCTATTTTGGACGGATTTAATTATCATTTGAAAGTGATGAGTGAGGGATCCGAGGAGAGTGGGAGGAAGTACTTCATGACATGCTGTATTCATCTACGGGAAAGATAGAGTGAGGGAGGGAGGGAGGGAGGCAAGGTACCACCACCTGGTTATATAGCGTGTTTGTGCGTATTAATCTTTACGTTGTGGTCTCTCTTTGTAGTAAGACTCAGTCAAAAAGAGAGAGGCGCATACGGGAATAAATCAGAAACGTGAGAGATGTTCGATTTTGGAGCTGATGATGCTTTTGATGATTGATGGGTCGTTTTCCATGAATCATTCTTCTTTCGAGAGACAAATTGAGAGAGCGCTTTTTATGCATAAGGGCTAAGGCAATGTTCCTAGCTAGGGTTTCGACTGATCATTGATGTGTGGTGATCAACAAGCACCAAAGCGTGCATAAGTATCATCCAAGTTCCCAAGGCCACTTATTCTCCTGGGCCATGGAGTCCCAGACATACCTTTGTATGGTTTGACCCATTCAGGATGTTTTATGGATTAAACACATTACTGCCTTGGACTGGGTAAACTAGAGGATTATTATGTGCTAAGGTTTGAGTCTCACAGACAATGTTATTTAAAGGAGTTGTCATTGCACAATGATATCAGACTTTGCCAGCCGCCGCCGCCGCGGCTCCGGTTTTTTGAAACACGCGATTGATATCCAAGCAGCTTCGAACGCTTTTTCTCCTCGGAATGGAGGCATGAGATAACGGACGATCTAGGTCCAGCATTGTTTTCTAAAGGCCCAGATAGTCTTGGACTCTGTAGTTTCGGCTACTAGATGTTGACATTGAAATATTGACCTTTCAATTGATAGACTTAACCCTATAAGCCCAATTCAACGACTTATATGGATTTCATAGCAGGACTCGTTCTACGCAGGGATGCAATCGTGCTGGACACAGCTTCTTCCCGCCCTGAAACACCTGGAAAAAAAACTACATGTTTCTTTCTAGGGTAGAAATTATATTTTATAAAATTTTAAATTTTAAAAAAATTAAATTTTTAATATTTTTAAATTATTTTAATATATTAATATCAAAAATAAA